TAGTTTTGAATCAACAAAATCTTTAATGCAACCCATTTTTGATTGTGTTAGACGCCGTGGTGGGAATTGTTTTAATATATTAACAATAACTATGCTAAATATTGAAAAAAATATATCAAAAAAAAATGTTTTTAATAATATTACAACAAATAAAACTTACCTTAAACGTACAGAATCAAAAACTTGCATTAAGTCTGTAGCAATTATATGTAAATTTTTAAGCAAAGCTCCTTCTGATTTTAATAGATCTGTCGGACAAGCGATCATTTTTATGAACATTTCTAGTAATTCTAGAATAAATCCAACAAGAAAATTAATTAAAAAAAATATAAATATGTTTTGTAAATAACAAATAGTGTGAAAAACAAAATAATTTAGATTTTTTAACATTAAATAAAACTAATGCATATACTAGTGGTTTTAATGTCATAATGGATTAAAACAATACTCAAGTCTTTTCTAAAATTTTATAAAATATATAGTATTTAGCATTTTTTTGTCAAATTTAAAAGCTAAATACTATTTTAAAATATTTATGTTTAACAATATATACTGTTTGCAAAATCATAATCGATACCAATGGTCTAACGCATACCTAACATCCAATTTAGGCCAACAATGAAAATGACATGATCTGCAGTCTAAAGATATCTTAACTTAGATTAATATCAAACATCTTATTTTAAACTAGACATACTTCTGTGTTAGCTACCATATTTCAAAAGTGGGATTAAATAAAGCTTATAGCTGCAAATTCTATGAAATGCAGAGTGAAACACACGTGCAGGTCATCTTATCTGAACCAGTTGTTGTTGTTTCATCCTGTCGCATTCTTGAAAATTAATACAAAAAAGAATAATCCGAATAGAAGGGGGTAATGTAGAGTAATATGTTAAGGTATATGGAAATAAAATATGTCCATGGCCTACGAAGGTAATTTAACATCTCAATATAACAAATTTTATTTTTCAGTTCATTAATATATTAGTTTGACTTGATTAACTTAGAAGACTATCTTTCGGAATAGCATAAAGATTCCATAGGTTGTAATATTATCTCCAAGAAAAATTAATAAAGAAAATAAAATAATTTACGTGTGTTATATAAACCACTATGATCAGGAGATTTTCAGGCGCTGCCGTCTTCGAGTGCATGGAATGTTACAGTACCAATCAAGATCCGTTGCCCCCATAAATTTAATACAGACTAGATTTAACATAGCGAATACATTTTGCTGATATTTCGTATTTTGTGCATTAGTACATCGATTTACTTCTATTAATTTTTAATGATAAAAATAATAATTATAATAATAACGTGTTAATAATATTATCATACACATAATAAAATCATACATAATATAAACACTGTGTGTATTATAATAAATTAATAATTAAGATAAATCCATACCATGAAGTTTATTCGCAAAATCATCACAATCTGAATTGCCATTGATAGCAGCAAATAAAATTCTTGAACGTATAACAAATTTCATAACATAATGTAAATATCTTGTGGTTTTATATAAACGCTTCACTTCAATACGTTCATCGATCTCAACACCATCAACTGATTTTTCCTTTGGTTCTATTGCTTCCTTAATATTCTTTTGAAGTACATCAATTAATTTTCTGCAATATAAGCAAATGTATCGTTAAATATTTCAAAAAAAAAAAAATATTAATTATTCAAATCTAGATTACCCATATGCTAAAGTTGCTGAAAAGCTCTGATTTATATATACATCTAATACAGTCAAAAAATGTTGATACTTCAGATCTGAAACAGTTTCAATGAGATGTATAATACTCATAAAAACTAACTGATCATATTTCTGAGGATTGTCATTATCAACCTAAAACAATAAAGAAATTATATATTGCAAATATATATCTTTGAATGTGTTATATTACTCTTACCAATATATTAAATAAAGCATCTAGAATATCTTGTAAAAATTTCACAACCTCTTCCCCAGGTACATTTGATAAAGCATTTAAGGATTCTTCCAAAGTATCCTTGTGTGCTGACCAGTTCAATAAGCCCAATAAGCTCACTAAAAAATTTAGAAATTGTTGAGAAATGATACTTACACATAATATATTATTTAAAAAAAAACTTGGAATACGTACCACTTTGTGTTAATTTTGTGCTGCAAAGATTTACACAAATCGTACACTGATCCTTTGGCAATAAATTTAAACCAGTTATGGAAGGTTTTGTGCCCTGTAATTCAATGATAGTAGCTGGCAGTTCCATATAAGAGTTCGCATTCGTTTTGTCGAATTTTTTATGATCGATTTTATATACAGCCAAATTATGTAGTCCTTGCTGTAATGATAATATTATAAACATGTATTTAGATCTTTAGAAACACCCGTTAGTAGATATTTTTAAATTAACAAATTATTTATTTATCGTAACATTTTAAGCTGAGTTAAAACTGTATATACACAATTTGTATTATATGCAAGGATTCAATGTATTTAACTAGATTATTGATTCAATTGTCATCGTCTACAGGGCAACCAATGCGACTTTATAAGAAAGCATTGATTCTTGAAGAAATTCTGTTTAAGAAAAAAATTGATCACTTTGGTCATATAAAGATCATACTCATAGATAAAAATATCAACTCTACAATTTATCTTAAATGAAAACACTTAAGATTGAGTTGGAATTATCAGGAAGCAGTTATTATTGTTAAGCAATATTCTAAATCTCCCGTGTTGGTAGCAATCGCAGGTAGGATCTACAGAGATGAGAGAAAAAGAAAGACAATGCGAGAATGACTAAAGGTAAATAGACTTGGCTAGAGAGTGATATATGTGAAGAACGTATGAGTATAACTAAATTTTTATAACGTTTGGAAAGAGTATATTTTCGAAAGCTTCCAAAGGATTGGTTATCAATCAAGTTATACTGCTCTAGCTCAGAAAATTTGACGGCTTTGTGGGTAAAATATTTAGAACATAAGTGATAACAATGACATCTATTTAAAGAGAAATATCCTCTATTTTTATTGAAAAAGTTACTTACAGTTATGGTAGTTCCATTATCTTGCATTAATTTTACATATGATAAGCCGAAAGGTTTCTCAGACTTATCCTTTTGTTCATTGGAGCTCCTATGCTTAAAAGTAAATTTTAAATGACACTGTTTGAATTCATCTATAGGCACATGTATCTAAAAATTAAAATATATTTATTGTAAATATAACAAAAAATTATAATAATGTAACTAACTTTAAATGTTTCTTGCCACTTTGGTTTATCATCATGATAATAAACGACAGATTTATATTCATCAATGGGTGGATGTCCAGCACCTATACTCATTACGCCCGGCACAAGTTGTCCCAGTTCATTACAAACACATACTGTAACCTCAACATTTTTTTCAGATGTTTTAGCAATACGCGCAAATTCTCCCGAACATAATGTCAAATATAAATCATTGCGAACATCTCCCGGCAGTATAACTTCTGGAAAGCCCATTTTACGCGCTAAAGGTACATTTGTATGCACTAAACGTGGGAAATCTTCTTTAATCTGTTTTATATCGCCTTGTAGCACTTCAACAGTAACAGCCATTTTAGAATCAATTTTACCTATATCTTTATTAGCAATTAACTTGCGTAATGTAGCATCCAGATTATCTTTTTCACACATTATAAAAGGTAAGTCCAAATTACCCTTTGAATCTTCTGGTTTGTTAATTATGGGTGTGATTTCTTTACATGCGACTCCGAACGGACGTCGCATTATGTACTCTGTATTATTAAAAGAACCATTGGAGCTGATCGAAAGTTGTGAATTCTTTTTACTTGCCGCCGTTAGCATCGTATTCGTTATGCTTACACGCTTGGAGTCATTCTCTTTCATTTCCATACCACCGACGCGTATCGCATAACAAACAAGATAAATCTTCGATATACTTAAGTCATTTTTGCTTAGATCGGTGAAGAGTACACGATTGTTATCAAATTGATCGATATCACGCGCAATACCGGTACGTGACCATTTGACCACATAATTTTCACTTATCGGTTTGTGTGATTCGCCGTCAAAAAGCGTAAAAAGTAGATCAGAATCTTCTTGAAATTTGCATACAAATGCATTTACATGGAGTAATATATTATGGGAGTATTTATTTAAGGGACGTGAAGTGCGTTGATTTGATTGAGGGCGCTGCATAAAATATAAACAATTTTAGTATTGCTTAGAAAATCTAATAAAAAAAGTGTGCAATATAAACAAATAAAAATTACATTTGCTTTAATAATGCGATTAACCGCA